GTTTTTATAGTTTTGAGTTCTTATTACGAAAACGATACTGCCCATCTTCTCTTCCTCTTTCAGTTTCCTTCTGTCGCCTCTTACAACTCCTGCAAAACGATATGGATTAGTGGATATTTTTACACCGCTTCTACACGGTTTGTCTAGATATTTGTCCATGTGCAATTTGTGTGTGTGTATATAGGTACACGTTACGACAGAAAACCTTAGTGTATTCCTAACCTATTGAAACAAGGGGAAGAAAATTGCTAACAAAAATGTTTTGCAATCAGTCGTATGATGGCAACAAAACACAGGAATGTTTTATTTAAATATACATATATATATATATATATATATATATATATATATATATATATATATATAGAATGAAATGTTTTGTTTACGGAGTTACGTACATTTTTATGACGCTATGTGTAATGTGTAAATTTGTAAATGTGTAAGATTTGGTCGAAAAGTTTGATCACAGTATTCCTACAGAAAATCATTGTTATTGTCAATATACAAAGAAACTTATTGGATGTTTTTTTGAAGAGAATAAAAAATAAAGAAGAGAATAAAAAGAATAAAAAATATTTTTAATATGTAATATTTTTTATGTTTCTGGTTTCTCGACAACCGCTCTAACGATTTTGATGTAATTTTTGTTTAGATATTGTTTTAATTTACTTGGAGTGTTAATATGAGTTAATTCGATTTCAATTAAGATAAATATATACTTAATTTTCTAGAAGATGGTTAAAGATTTTTATTATATCTAAGAATAACATTTGAGGAAACAATATACTTGATGGTAAGTAGTTACTGCAGACAAGACACTTCAAACAAAGAACATCACAGATGCATTGTCACCCTAATTTTCATGGCTTTCTCACCATTCAAAACTGGACACAGAAGTGGGTGCTCTGCTATTTGAGGGAAAAAAACTAAGAGTGTAACAACCCAGACGTAAATCATGTATGAATTAAACCAATTGTCTACTTCGTGAAAAATGTGATGTGATGTGAAAAATCTTACATAAAAAAATATAATTTATATTTATCAATTTTAAGGTAAGGTGCATGCAAACCCGAAAAGGTTTTAGGGCAAGGAAATTTTTTGTTATGTCGGAGGAAGAAGCTGCATCAGCTGCTAATGAGCTGATTGTGTTATTTAAACGTGCGCAGTTCCATTTAGTAAAATGGACATGTAATTCCGACTCGTTCTTAAGCGCTCTGCCTTCGTCATATAAGATGTCTGAACCTATTGAATTTGATAGAACCGCTCAATTTTAAATTTTGGGCTTGAGTTGGGATAAATCTCGCGATTGTTTTGAATTTAAAGAAACCACGCCTGGCGAAAGGTGTTCAAAACGAATCATTTTAGCCACTGTAGCTAGAATTTGGGACATAATGGGCCTCGTAGCGCCTGTTGTGCTCTTCGCTAAACTTCTGATAAAGGATTTGTGACTATTGAAACTTGATTGGGACGATTGTCCGCCCCAGCATATAGTCGAAACCTGGAAAGGGTTTTGTATAGAGTTACCGCTACTCAATGACGTCAAAATACTGCTACATTTGGGGGTCTTCGAACATTGCGTTGTACGATTGGTCGGCTTTTCTGACGCTAGTGAGCGTGCTTATGGAGCAGTGGTATACGCCCATATTACTCACGTAAGCCAGGTTTCGACGCGACACGTCTGCGCTAAGTCAAAGGTCTCACCAATGAAGCCTTTGTCTATCGCACGTCTCGAGCTCTGTGCTGCCGAATTATTGGCAAGACTAATTAGACGCGTGCACGATACCTACGATTCACGCTACCATATAAGTGAGATGTACGCGTTCACAGACTCAATGGTCACACTTTGTTGGATAAACTCTTCCCCGCACCGATGGCAAACTTTTGTCGCTAACCGCGTCGAAAAGCTAATATCTCATCTATTATGGTCACAAGGTCCGCCCAGGCTCGTGCAAGACCTCTCGCTGTGGCCTATCACCAATACAGACCATAATAGTATAGCGCTAGAGAACAAACCGGACCAGAAAATAACCGCACACCCCGTTACTACGTCAGATCCAGAAATGTCTTTAGTTCAAGATCTTAATAATCGCATCTCCTCATGGAGTAAACTCACACGTATCCTTGTTTATGTCTGCAGATTTATAAATAAACTACCCCGTTCCGGTTCGATAGCAGTTACCGCGTTCGATATAAGCGCCGCAGAGCATATGATAATAGGCGATATTCAAAAAATACATTTTGCATTCGACATTCGACAGTTAGGAACCGGTAGTAATTGCTCGCCCGCGCTAATGAAGCTTAAGCCATTTTTATGGCCTCATCCACGTTGGTGGCCGCTTTACCAACTCCGCTGAAATTTCAGAATACAAATATCCGATTATTTTACCGCGTCACGACGCTCTTGTGGAGTCGTTGATCGACAACTATCATAAAAAGTATTTACATGCCGGCCCAGAGCTGCTCATGTCTTTGTTAAGACAACGATTTTGGATCTTGTCCGCTAGACGAATTATACGGTCTAGAATTAATAAGTGCAATATTTGCTTTAAATTAAAACCGCGCCCGTAATTTCCTTTAATGGCTGCTCTGCCGGGAAATAGAGTCACGCAAGCGGAGAAAGCTTTCGCTCATACTGGCTGTGATTATTGCGGCCCTATATCGTATACGCCCATACGAGAGCGAGGTGTTAAAACTCGCAAGGCTTACCTATGTATATTTACTTGTCTTACTACGCGCGCACTCCACATCGAAGTAGCCACGGATCTTTCCACTGTGAGTTTTATCGCAGCTTTAAAGCGCTTTCTATCGCGACAGGGTCCCGTGAAAAGTCTCTTGGAACAAATTTTGTAGGCACACGATCTTATCTACGAGATTTATATAATTTTGTCACAAAGGAATACCGCCCGCGGTTAGAAGAAGAATTGACCGAAAGTCGCATTGAATTCAAGTTCATAGCGTCTGCCGCCCCATATTTCGGTGGTTGTTGGGAGCGTATGGTAAAATGTGTAAAGAACCATCTTTTTAAGGTTATTACAGGATTAAAGTTAGGACAGCAGATCCTTGCGTATGAGGAGCTAATCACAGTCCTCGCTCAAATAGAATGATTACTAAACTCTCGTCCTCTCACTGTGCTTAGCTCCGATCCAGCTGAACCGACGGCTTTAACACCCGCACATTTTTTGAATACGTTACCATTACGCTCTCTACCTGCACCTGATGTGGAATCTTCGCCATTTAATTTACTTCAACGACATGCACTCTTAGATAAATTAGTTCAGTCCTTTTGGCGTCGTTGGAGAACTGAATATCTGCATCAACTGCAGGCGCGGCAGAAATGGACTCAATCCTCGGTCCCCGTAAAGGTGGGCACAGTTGTCATAATTATAAATGATAACTCACCAACCCTCTCTTGGCCCTTGGGAGTGATCATAAAGGTTCACCCGTCTAAGGACGGTATAGTTCGTGTCGCTACATTAAAAATGGCAAGGGGTACACTCGTGCGACCAGTGGTGCGCTTGTGTCCGTTGCCTACACTACATCGCTCACATCTTACATCTTTACATCTATGTATTATAATATATAATATATATTTATATTCGCTTAGCTTTAGTAAGTATTAATTGTATTTATCGCATCATATTATTGTTATCCTTTTAAAGGCGACCCTTTAAGGGTGGGGGAAATGTTACCGCCACTTCTCAAATTAAAATATTCCGCATTTTTGTTCAATCTTATTGACGAATCAGATTTCCTCTATAATACCATTCATTCATTCCATTCATTCCTTCCTGCGACCGACAACCGGGTAGAAGAAGAAGTCTAAGTAAAAACCACGCCCGCACGCGGAAGCATATTGTGTCACGCTCGCTACTCGCATATCTATTTAATTATCATACATTAAAATCACGACCGTGAAATGTATAAAATAAGTATAAATCGCGCAAGAAAACTAGGAGTGTACCACGCAAGTGTCAACTTCAAGTATGAAAAGAAGCTGACGACGTTCTACAGGTACCTTCAATTTTATGTGTCGGTTCCAAATTTCAACGAAATCTAATTCCAACTACCTATTACAGTTCATTTTATTTAAATTTTGAATTACGCGTCACCAACTATACTAACTTACTTGTTCTGTGGGCTCTGCAGCGCCGCAGCCTAATGCTTAACCAGTGCGCATTGGAGTCAATAATATACTTTAAAGAAGCGGAAAATTAAATAGACTATTAGAAACTTTATATATATAACTAACCACTAAATGAATGGTTTTAATGTAGTCTGGGTTTTAACTTTTCAATTTAGTAAAGTTTCTAATAGTCTATTTAATTTTCCGCTTCTTTAAAGTATATTATTGACTCCAATGCGCACTGGTTAAGCATTAGGCTGCGGCGCTGCAGAGCCCACAGAACAAGTAAGTTAGTATAGTTGGTGACGCGTAATTCAAAATTTAAATAAAATGAACTGTAATAGGTAGTTGGAATTAGATTTCGTTGAAATTTGGAACCGACACATAAAATTGAAGGTACCTGTAGAACGTCGTCAGCTTCTTTTCATACTTGAAGTTGACACTTGCGTGGTACACTCCTAGTTTTCTTGCGCGATTTATACTTATTTTATACATTTCACGGTCGTGATTTTAATGTATGATAATTAAATAGATATGCGAGTAGCGAGCGTGACACAATATGCTTCCGCGTGCGGGCGTGGTTTTTACTTAGACTTCTTCTTCTACCCGGTTGTCGGTCGCAGGAAGGAATGAATGGAATGAATGAATGGTATTATAGAGGAAATCTGATTCGTCAATAAGATTGAACAAAAATGCGGAATATTTTAATTTGAGAAGTGGCGGTAACATTTCCCCCACCCTTAAAGGGTCGCCTTTAAAATGATAACAATAATATGATGCGATAAATACAATTAATACTTACTAAAGCTAAGCGAATATAAATATATATTATAATACATAGATGTAAAGATGTAAGATGTGATCGATGTAGGGTTTATTATTGTGTAGGCAACGGACACAAGCGCACCACTGGTCGCACGAGTGTACCCCTTGCCGTTTTTAATGTAGCGACACGAACTATACCGTCCTTAGACGGGTGAACCTTTATGATCACTCCCAAGGGCCAAGAGAGGGTTGGTGAGTTATCATTTATAGTTATGACAACTGTGCCCACCTTTACGGGGACCGACGATTGAGTCCATTTCTGCCGCGCCTGCAGTTGATGCAGATATTCAGTTCTCCAACGACGCCAAAAGGACTGAATTAATTTATCTAAGAGTGCATGTCGTTGAAGTAAATTAATTGGCGAAGATTCCACATCAGGTGCAGGTAGAGAGTGTAATGGTAACGTATTCACAAAATGTGCGGGTGTTAAAGCCGTCGGTTCAGCTGGATCGGAGCTAAGCACAGTGAGAGGGCGAGAGTTTAGTAAGCATTCTATTTGAGCGAGGACTGTGGTTAGCTCCTCATACGCAAGTATCTGCTGTCCAATAACCTTAAAAATATGGTTCTTTACACATTTTACCATACTCTCCCAACAACCACCGAAATGTGGGGCGGCAGGCGCTATGAACTTGAATTCAATGCGACTTTCGGTCAATTCTTCTTCTAAACGCGGCGGTATTCCTTTGTGACAAAATTATATAAACCTCGTAGATAAGATCGTGTGCCTACAAAATTTGTTCCAAGAGACATTTCACGGGACCCCGTCGCGATAGAAAGCGCTTTAAAGCTGCGATAAAACTCACAGTGACTACTTCGATGTGGAGTGCGCCCGTAGTAAAACAAGTAAATATACATAGGTAAGCCTTGCGAGTTTTAACACCTCGCGCTCGTATGGGCGTATACGATATAGGGCCACAATAATCACAGCCAGTATGAGCGAAAGCTTTCTCCGCTTGCGTGACTCTATGTCCCGGCAGAGCAGCCATTAAAGGAAATTGCGGGCGCGGTTTTAATTTAAAGCAAATGTTACACTAATTAATTCTAGACCATATAATTCGTCTAGCGGACAAGATCCAAAATCGTTGTCTTAACAAAGACACGAGCAGCTTTGGACCGGCATGTAAATACTTTTTGTGATAGTAGTCGATCAACGACTCCACAAGAGCGTCGTGACGCGGTAAAATAATCGGATATTTATATTCTGAACTTTCAGCGGAGTTGGTAAGGCGGCCACCAACGTGGATGAGGCCATCACATAAAAATTACTTAAGCTTCATTAGCGCGGGCGAGCAATTACTACCGGCTCCTAGCTGTCGAATGTCGAATGCAAAATGTCTTTTTTGAATATCGAACGCGGTAACTGCTATCGAACCGAAACGGGGTAGTTTATTTATAAATCTGCAGACATAAACAAGGATACGTGTGGGTTTACTCCATGAGGAGATGCGATTATTAAGATCTTGAACTAAAGACATTTTTGGATTTGACGTAGTAACGGGGTGTGCGGTTATTTTCTGGTCCGGTACGTTGTCTAGCGCTATACTATTATGGTCTGTATTGGTGATAAGCCACAGCGAGAGGTCTTGTGCGAGCCTGGGCGGACCTTGTGACCATAATAGATGAGATATTAGCTTTTCGGGTGTAAGACCTCTCGATAAACAATCAGCTGGATTATCTATTCCCGCGACGTGATGAAAGTTAGCGGCCGGTAAATTGTCAATAATCTTGACGACGCGGTTAGCGACAAAAGTTTGCCATCGGTGCGGGGAAGAATATATCCAACAAAGTGTGACTATTGAGTCTGTGAACGCGTACATCTCACTTATATGGTAGCGTGAATCGTAGGTATCGTGCACGCGTCTAATTAGTCTTGCCAATAATTCGGCAGCACAGAGCTCGAGACGTGCGATAGACAAAGGCTTCATTGGTGAGACCTTTGACTTAGCGCAGACGAGTCGCGTTGAAACCTGGCTTACGTGAGTAATATGGGCGTATACCACTGCTCCATAAGCACGCTCACTAGCATCAGAAAAGCCGACCAGTCGTACAACGCAATGTTCGAAGACCCTCAAATGTCGCAGTATTTTGACGTCATTGAATAGCGGTAACTCTATACAAAACCCTTTCCAGGTTTTGACTATATGCTGGGGCGGACAATCGTCCCAATCAACTTTCAATAGCCACAAATCCTTTATCAGAAGTTTAGCGAAGAGAACAACAGGCGCTACGAGGCCCATTATGTCCCAAATTCTAGCTACAGCGGCTAAAATGATTCGTTTTGAACATCTTTCGCCAGGCGTGGTTACTTTAAATTCAAAACAACCGCGAGATTTATCCCAACTCAAGCCCAAAATTTTAAATTGAGCGGTTCTATCAAATTCAATAGGTTCAGGCATCTTATATGACGAAGGCAGAACGCTTAAGACCGAGTCGGAATTACATGTCCATTTTACTTAATCGAACTGCGCACGTATAAATAACACAATCAGCTCATTAGCAGCTGATGCAGCTTCTTCCTCCGACATAACACTAAAAACGATATCGTCCATATAGATATAGCGAGAAGCAATTATCTTTGCTAGCCGAAATGAATCTCCATCATCTGCAATGAGTTGCTGAATGACACGGAGCGCGTGGTACGGGCTGGTCCAAGTCCAAAACAAACCCTATTAAATTTATAGTCGGTAAGTTCTTCTTGCGGGTGAAAACGATATAAAATGCGTTGAAAGCGACGATCACGCCTATTCATTATAATTTGAAGGAACATCTGTTTGCAATCAGCGGAAAGCGCGGTAGCGAAAAGAAAAAAATAATTGCAAACAGATCACCTTGTAAATTAGGACCACTATGGAGAATATCGTTTAGTGAGTTATAAATAAAGTTTTAAATTTAAATGGCGAGCGATGAACAAATATACAATTTATTAAAGCGTCGTAAACACTAATCTATCGCGGAAATATCAGGTAGATTTATTAAACTGATCTAAATTTCTTCGTAAGCGAGCGGGTATGTAGACATAGTATTATGTATTGCGGCAAGTATATGGTAAGTTATATAATAGCGATGAATATACGGCTTTAAATTAATATAATAAATATATAATGCGTGTATATATGCGAGAAATTAAGTAAAATATGTATATATATGGTTTTAATTATGCCTATTCTGCATAGAAATATTCCAACGAAGTGGCATAAAATGGTTATCGAATTGAAAAGGTTTTAATCCGGCTCGAAGGACCAAAATGGTGACGCGTGGTTCAAAATTGGAATAAAGTGGACTGTAATAGGTAGTTGGAATTGGATTTCGTTGAAATTTGCAACCGACACATAAAACTGAAGGTACGCACCTGGAGAACGCCGTCAGCTTCTTTTCTTACTTGAGGTTGACACTCGCGTGGTACACTCCTAGTTTTCTTGCGCGATTTACACTTATTTTATACAATTCACGGCCGTGATTTTAGCGTATGATAATTAAATAGGTATGCGAGTAGCGAGCGTGACACAATATGCTTCCGCGTGCGGGCGTGGTTTTTACTTAGACTTCTTCTTCTACCCGGTTGTCGGTCGCAAGAAGGAATGAATGGAATGAATGAATGGTATTATAGAGGAAATCTGATTCGTCAATAAGATTGACCAAAAATGCGGAATATTTTAATTTGAGAAGTGGCTGTAACAATAGTCTATGTTATATATGTATATATGTGTGCACACGTGTGCACTGGTAGCTATGACCACCGACAAGACAAAGAGTAAAGGCATTTTTAACGGTTTTCCGTTATTAGTCCGTTGCTGATATAGTCTCTTATATAGGACAAACAAAAAGATCTTTAAAAACCCCTGTAAAAGAACATAACTGATGTGAAACACCGACGCTCTAGGTAGCATGCAGTATGTTAACATGTTCAGGATATTCCAAAACATTACATCAAATTTGATAGATCTCACAAAAATAACACCGATTATAAAAATGCCATGTTTCTGTGAGTGTAGAGATCCGGAACTCTTTTTACTAGAAACCAGGGGTTCTATCTTAGTCTTTAGGGAAAACAACGCATCTGTATTTTGATTCCTTTTCGAGGGTAGATTTAGGTGTCTATGAGCCACAGCACCCACTTGCTATCATGTGGACTGGGTGCTTCTTTGTCACCCTTATTCCATATAAAATCATCCTAATTTCAATAGAGAAGACATCTGGTAATTGTAAATGATAGCAATTAAACTTTATTAATTATGGGATATAATTAAATTAAATTAAAACCCAGGCACACTTATGGACACACGCAAGAATCATAGATACTAGAATCTCATTTTGCGTAGATTTAACCAAAAATTAATATTTAAAAGTTGAAGACTATTCACAAAACAAATCAATATCTCCGTGTCCTTCCTCATCGGAAACGAATTCCTTCGTTTCGATATATCTGAAAAAAGTTAAGTTAAACGCGCAAATATCCTAAAATTAGTTTTATTCTAGAATGTACAGAGTTTAAGTGATGTTGACGTTTGAATGCATAATTTACATATTCTTACAAAGTTCTAATGTCATAATAATATTTAAAAACAGTACACTGTTTTTCACGATTATTATATTCATCGTGATTTTTGCTAACGGAGCACATCCAGCAGTGATTTCAACATTCATTTAAAACCACCTGTGTGCCTCATCTCTAGAAAAACCTTTTATTTGCGAAATCATAGTTTCTTGACGGATCTCAATCAAATTTCATTTTATTACGGTCAGTCAAAGGATGCAACTTTGAATAATGATTTTTATTCATAAAATTAATGTGACAAACGAACATACAGTCAACTTGATGGTAAGTGGTTAGTGCAGCCAATGGACACCTGCAACCAACTTCAATTAAAAAGGCTACAGATGCGTTGTCACCTCTGGGAACTTCTTCTTCTCCTTAATAACTAGCCTTACGGCTCTGGGATCTAGCCCTTCTAAGCCTGAAGTTACAATAATAATTATCCTTTATAATTATATAATATATATACATAATTAATCATTAATAATTATCCTTCATAGTATACTGCTTCACAATATGTTGATGTGTCACATTGTGCAGCCCTTGGGAGATTTTGACGGCAACTTGAGCCAGCAGACAGCTGACGGTTGGCGATGGCATCTCAAGGCGCCTAAGCAGACAGACACCTTATTTTGAGAATCACATCACCATCAGAGCACTTGTTTCACAGTTTCCACTAATAGTTTACATGCGCAGACACTTAATATACAAAATCTTACCACTTTTACATATCAAAGTCCTCTTCAAACCATTATTTAAACAATAATACAGGAGCAGCAATCTGCCGCCGGTCAAGTTCCCGCCAAAACTCCCTCTGGGAACTAAGATGGAATGCTTCACAGACTTTCATTAGTTCAACACTTAGAAACTGAGCGCTTATAAAAATAAATTTGCTTTTAATTAAAATGCATTCACTCGAACAAATCTGCTTAGAAAACCACGTAAGGTATATCCTCTTATGTGCTTTTGTTAGTGAGTTTGTTTTGTTAACGGGCAAGAAGTTATTAGGATATCTATATATTTGTTAAATTTTCATATTATATAATAGCTGTTACCCGTCGCATTGCTGCCGCAGAAGAAATACCTAATTGCCAATACCTTTGCGCAAGTGCACAGGTGACAAAGTTTTAAAGCAATCTGATGAACGGTATGGCAGCACATAAAATACGAAGAAACAAACATTAATTTTCAAACATCATACTGTCACAGGCTTTCTATACATTTCAAATTGGAACACAGCAGTGCACACATTTCTTGTACTTTAGACATATTTAATAAAAACCTTTTAATACTAATAGTTGGAAATCTCGCTATGTTGTTCACCGGTTAATCTTTTACGAGGATTTTGAAAGAGATTCTTGTAGAAGGTTATTGACCCACATTGACATATTTGTAACGTACGTATATGAACAAGAAATAAACATTTTTATATTGCAAAATCTATCTTTCTTATTGTAAAAACTTGTGTCTGACATTTGAGGAAGTCTGTTTAAAGTGTGTTGTAAGTATGATTCCACCTGATAATAAGTTGCGTACTGTGAGGTAGATTGTAGTCTTGTTTGTAACTGTAATATTATGTAAAACAGGCTTGTAAAGTAGAATAGTATAAATCAAATAATGGTCAGTTTCAACAACAACTTCATTAAAATACTCATGTTGATACATACTGGAATAACTTATTTACAGTTCTAATTTAGTTTTCCTTTGCTACAAGAATTTCACCCGCAGCTACGTAATTATGTTACAAGTTTGTCCTCACGCTTAACACTTTCTGTATACATAATGGCTCGTTCACAAGAACATCGATAGTAACGGTTTGTTTAAGACATACTAGATGCTTTACATTTAATTAAGGCCTGATTTTCCAACCGTCAGATAAAAGTTATCTATCAAATAATTTACAATCTGCCTAAAAACTAAAATGAAACGATTTTACTATATTTGTCCATACAACTACAAGTTTTAATTTGTATATGATTTAATTTATCCTATTTATACCTTTTATCTGATGATAAAAAAAATCATCCTTTAATTATATTTAATAGTTGCTAATGAATATGATGATTCCTACTGACCGATAGATTCTGAACAGGACTCAATACACTGAACATACTTATGGGAATTTCATCATCATCATGATCATTATATCCCATCACAAGATTACAGCTGAACACAGACCAATTAATGCCATAGAGCACGGTTTGACCCACCTAGCGGTAATGCCGACACAGACTGACTCATCGACTACGTCCAAATGGCTGCAGATTCCGTGCAACAACCGCAGAGATCGTGATACTCGGTGATTTTAACGCCCACCACGCTGAATGGGTTGGTTCTCGTTTAACCGATCAACCCGCATAGATAGACAGATCTACCCGCATGTAGATCTGTCTATGACTTTGCTTTGGCATATGATCTAACACAACTGGTTACTTCACCTACGCGGATCCCAGATGTGGAGGATCATGTACCTTCCCTGTTGGACCTTCTGCTAACCTCTCATCCGGACGGATGTCAGGTCTCCGTCGATGCCCCTCTGGGCTCTTCGGACCATTGTTTGATCCGGAGTACGGTGCCACTCACGCTTCAATCGCAGTTGCGATCTGCAGCTTGCCGCCGTGTTTGGCACTATAGGTCAGCTCATTGGGACGGGATGCGGTCGTTTTTTGCATCCTACCCTTGGGGGCGGATTTACTTCTCGCCGGAAGATCCCAGCGTTGTTGCCGATTCTGTTGCTGATGTGATACTTCAGGGTATGGAACTTTTTATTCCATCCTCTGTGATGCCCATCGGAGGCAGATCCCAGCCATGGTTTGGTCGCTCCTATAAAATAGCATCACGCTATAAGCAGAAGTGCTACCGGTCCTGGGCTGACGCATCAACGTCTCGGGATGTAAACACCAGCGCACATAAAAAGAAGTATAATTCCGACTCCAGGTCCTTCAAAAGCGTCATTACCAAGGCAAGGTCTGAGCACATCGGCAGAATTGGCGAGAAGCTAGTTCGCTTTCCTTCGGGAACCCGTGCATTCTGGTCTCTCGCCAAGGCTGTCCAAGAGAACTTCTGTCAGCCATCTCTTTCATCTCTGCACAGAGAGGACGACTCACTAGCCCATGCCGCAAAGGAGAAAGCCAATCTGTTGAGTTCTCTCTTTGCGTCCAACTCGACTCTAGATGACGGGGGGAACACACCGCCGACCATCCCGCGATGTGAGTGCTCCATGCCAGATGTGCGGTTTACACAGCGCTCTGTTCGCAAAACACTCTTCTCCCTGGACGTCAGCAAGTCGAGTGGGCCCGATGGAGTCCTTCCCATTGTGCTGAAGACGTGTACTCCGGAGTTGGCACCGGTTTTAACGCGTCTTTTCCGGTACTCCTACTCCCAAGGCGTAGTCCCGAATTCATGGAAGACAGCTTTGGTCCATCCGATTCTTAACAAAGGCGACCGCTCAGAACCGTCCAACTACAGACCAAGGCATTGGCCGTTAGTTTGGACATAGCGAAGGCCTGCGATCGGGTCTGGCACAAAGCGCTTCTTTCGAAACTTTCTTCCTATCGGCTTCCCGAGAAATTCTGCAAATGGATCACCTGTTTCCTTGCTGATCGGAGCATCAAGGTCGTAGTAGACGGTGCATGCTCTGATTTCAAGCCTATCATTGCTGGTGTTCCACAGGGCTGCGTGCTATCACCAACGCTGTTTCTTCTGCATATCAATGATATGTTGCTAACTGGTAGCATTCATTGCTATGCGGATGACAGCACTGGTGATGCCTTATATACCGGCCGTGCCAATATTTCCCGGGAAAACGTCGCCGAGTACCGGGACAAACTTGTGTCTGAAATCGAGTCTTTGCTTAACAAAGTCTCGGATTGGGGGCGACTAACTCTAGTCCAGTTCAATCCCCAAAAGACATAAGTTTGCGCGTTTACTGCTAAAAAGAACCCCTTTGTCGTATCTCCTCAGTTTCAGGGCACTCCCCTTGCTGCCTAGTATCGGAATCCTTGGCGTCGACATATATAATAAATAGTGTGCAGTTTCGTGGTCACTTGGAAGGGAAGGCCAAATTGGCCTCTAAAAAGCTTGGCGTGCTCAGCAGAGCGAGACAGTATTTCATGCCGGCACATCGCTTGCAACTTTACAAAGCGCAAGTTCGGCCCCACATGGAATACTGTTCTCATCTCTGGGCCGGGGCACCCCAGTGCCAGCTCCTTCCACTTGACCGCATCCAGCTCAGAGCGGTTCAAATCGTCGACGACCGAGTTCTTTCTGATCGGCTCGACACACTGGCACTGCGAAGAGATGTTGCATCTCTTTGCATATTTTATCGCATCTACCACGGGGAGTGCTCTGAGGAATTATTCGGACTAATTCCAGCCGCTCAATTTCACCATCGCACATCGCGACAAAACTCGCATTACCATCTATACCATCTGGATGATTGGCGGTCCACCACTGTGCGATTTAGAAGAAGTTTTCTCCCTCACACAACTTCCTTGTGGAATCAATTACCACCAGCGAATTTTCCGGACCGATACGACTTAGGAACCTTCAAGAAAAGAGC